TGTGACTGTTTGAGGTTGTGGACAGGTGTCTTTTATACTGATAACAGGTTCAAACAGGTTCCATTAATACAGTTAACAAGTGGAGGACAGAGGAGGCTCTTAAAGAAGAAGTTACAGGTCTGTGAGAGCCAGAAATCTTGTTTGTTTGTAGGTGACCAAATACTTATTTTCCACCATCATTTGCAAATATATTCTTTAAAAATCAGACAATGTGATTTTCTGGATTTATTTTTTTCTCATTCNAAAGTGCACCACATTCAGACGGAGGAATGCACCGGGTTCCACTGTCTTTCTAGTAGCTCTGTAGCCCCATCCACGAGTAACGTTTCCACGGCAGGTGTTATGTATGCTAGCAACACACGGAGTTAACTCAATGATACAAACATGGGTTAATGATTAGAGGTAACGGAGTTACTCTTTATTTTGTTAAAGTTTCAGCTATTCTGTTTACAGTTCTGTCATCACATTATTTAATACGATTTGTTAAAACATTGTTTCTTTTGATGTGAAATATTATTTATTTTATTTAAATAAAAAGCAATGTTAATTTTGTTCAAAATGTGTTTAGTTAATTTAATAATATATCTATTTTTGAATCAAGTATTCATCTTTATTGTCTTCATTGTTAGTTACTTTCCACATGCCTAAAACAACCTCAAGCTAGATCTAAAAGTTGATGGCTAAATAAGAGCGTTTGAGAAATTGTGCAAGGCATACAGTAATAGTCTGAATAGTCCATTAATCAATAGATTAATCGATTATCAAATTAGTCGTTTGTTGCAGCCTAGTTGTCCCATGTATAAATAAAACGTGTTATTCAGCAACCCTTGCAATTTGGGATTTTATTTTTGGTTGGTAGACCTCGGTGAGCTGGTCATTTCAAAAGTAGCTCACCAGCCAAAAAAGTGTGGGCACCCCTGGTCTAAGGACAGAGGGTGTCGTATTGTCATACTGATATTCTGTACAAACTGTGAAGTCCACTGAGACAAATGTAACATTTGTGATATTGGGCTATATAAATAAACATTGATTGATTGATTGATTGATTGAACACATAGCAGGGCACCATATGTATTCATTTAGTATTTTCTGTGATCCAGTGTCATTGCAGTTTTTGAATTCATTATTATTCTTCAGGGTGGATGTGGCACTCGGCCCAGTTGACGACCACTGCTTAATAGTGATGTGTTTATGTCTCTCTAAACTAGCACGGTGCAGTTTTTCTGGTTTGACCATAGACTATATATAAAAGGTTTGACCTGAAAGCAGGTGGCTGACAGCCTTTCTGATGTAGGTCTGGTGTTTTGTGGTTCATTTATAGCACCCTAAATACTCGAGTGGTGGTAGTAATCTGACACCTGGTTCATGCAAGGACTGATTCTTGCTAACCGTTTTTAACACTCTGACCCACTATTCGGGTTAGGAGGTCAGACAGAAGTTCAGAGAAATCCATCTGTCAAATACCAAAGTGTCGCTCAGCTTCGCCCGATTCTTAATCGTGTTTACCAAGACTTTGTTAATTTAATACACCAGGTTTATTTTAAGGAAATACATTTTTTAAACTGGGTTGATAACTTCTTTACACTGAAGCGTTATTGAAACATTGAAGGAAATGGCTATCGTGTGTCATATAGGCACGAGCATCCCTACATTTTTTGAATTCAGAACACTACAATTGTTACCAAGTTATTACAAAACCTTTTGAAGACTATCCAAATTGTGTTTGCAGCATCAAGAATCAAGTGTCACATTCTTTGGATTATGTGCTTTATTTTTATTTGATATAAACTACACCAACAAATGTAATATAACAAGTTTCTTTGGTACACTCCTTCTACTGTTTTTACCTTTTAGCCACAGATACTGAGGTCTGCTGTTTGTTTCCCTCTACAGCGGGCTCTGGCTCCAAAGCCGCCTCTCTGCACTGGACAGGAGAGCGAGTAGTGAGCATCCTGCTGCTGGCCCTGGGACCCGCAGCCTATTTCAGCCCCTGTCCTGCTGTCGACTACTCCCTGGCTGCTGCCCTGACCCTGCATGGGCACTGGTGAGACAGGCAAACACTAACCCAAACCTTGGTGGCATTATTTGTGAGGATGAAAGTTGGCAATTGCTTTCATTAATAACCATATTGCAGTTTTAAAACCGTCAAAGCTTTGTCCTAAAGTGTAACATATTGAATAGAACACCATACTCTCCATTTCTAACTAAGCCCCCGATAAGTGAGCCAGGCGTTGAAGCACATTTTTGTAGTGGCCAAACGTTAGTACTCAAATGAGCCCTTATTTAAAGTCTTAAAAATGTGCTAAATGCCAAATTGAGTTATTTTTCTTCATTCATTTATTTGACTGTGCCAAGATTGGGTGTGAAGCACCGGCTCGGAGGCGGGCTTCATTTTGTTATTATTATTTCAATTCTGTTCTATTTTATCTTATTTTTTACCTTGTGTGAATCATGTTTTTCACTCTGACCCTGTTGCTGCTATAAACGCCTGCATTTTCCCACGGGGATAAATAAAGTTCCATCTTATCTCATTAAGGATAAGATGGACGAGAGAGCATGCTCTATGGCCTTCAGAATATCCAGGGAAGATTCCATCAACATCCCAGTATTTTTGTTCTCGAGAGTCGAGACGTGTTGGCTTCACGCACACTGAGCGATTCTTTAAGAAGTATCTACTTCTCTTTACACGTCCATGCTTCTAGACCAAAACTTTGAAATGATATAGTTTCACTTCCTGCTGACTTGGCAATTACACACCAAAGTTTGGGTTTGGCCAGTCTTGTATATCTCTGTAAAATGTAATTGCTCTATTGACTGCCTGTTACCAACTTATCAGGTGCTACATCCTACATGAAGATTATAATGTTTAGTTTTTGGTAATACATTTTAATTAATCGTATTTTAATCGCGATTACGCCTTGCAACGATTACGAAAACAACGTAATTGAAATAAAACGATTATTTTTTTATTATTATTATTACTTTTTTTTTTTTTTTATTTAAATAACATTTTTTTTAATTTTTTTTTTCAGTTAAATTATACTTAAAGTTAACGGTAATAAACTGTTAAAAACATACTGTTCACATTTTTTTTCTCCAATAAATTGATGTTTTCCAAGTAAATGGAGATTATGATTTTTGCAATAATCGAGCAGCCCTATTTTAAAGTAGTTATTTTGAGGGCTGAAAGGGTGTTTTTTGACATTAAACAGTTGAAGCCTCCAGAGGGACCAGTCACTGAGCGGATCATAGACTTCCCTTATCCTGGGAAAAGGTGACGGGTAAATCCCTTCGTCTCGAGGTTCACAAGGAATTGTAGTCGAATGCTAATGGGGTATTAATTAGACTTGTCAGCATCCCGGTCACAGCCCTCCTCACCTCTGTGGTCATACACCAGCAGATTGGGATTTAACACAAATAGACCGTATGGGGAGTTGGAATGAAAGTTTCTTTGAACCCTCCACAAACTTATTTCCCAAACGTCTCCACCCAGGTCATAGAATTAGCTTGCTCACTGACCCTCACAGGACAAAATGCAAACGTTATGCCATGGGGCTTTGTTGAGGGGGGGTTCAGCCATCCTGCCTCGGCTGTCAGCAGCTATTAATTCAGCCTCGATTAGGCCTGGCTTTGTTTGCAGACTTGAGAGGGTGGCTTTAGCTTAGCGTCGCAGCGGTCTGTTCTTCCGTCAGTTTGAGCGCCGACTTAACAGCCTGGCAGGTGTAGGCCACAAATCCCAGTCATGAGTAGTGATAAGTCAAGCAATGTGTTCCTCCAAGGGTCCTGCCAAGTCCTCTGTGTCCAAAACCAGTTAACCTGATGCTGCGATGGGCATTGTTGAAGGCCCGGGATGAAGCATGGGAAGGTTGGAAAGGTTCTTCTTTTTTGGCTAGTACATGTAGGCTGTGCCTGACAGGATTATACAGCACTAAGGAATGTTGGAACTGAATGCCTTTAATTAGACATTAGGCTATTTCATCTAAGGAGGTAGAGGCCTGGCCAATTCATCAACCAAGCTCTCATATCAAATCTGTTATTTATTAAAATAATTAAAATAAAATCTTTGACGGGAAAGCCTTTGTACATAAAGCATCAATTATAAATCCCAAGGTGCATTGGGCTCAAAACATTGAATTACCAAGCTCTGCTACTTGGACCATTATCTGGTGGAAGTTGAAGATAACGCTGTTGAGACAACACATTTTACATCTGTAGCTTATATCAATTTACCCTTAATTTACTCTAAACTGTGTACATTTATCTGTTCCTAACGGCAACAACAAAGTGTCTTAAATTAGCTATTGTATTGAATTGCATCTCTGACGTGCCGTAGCAATGGAGGATGAAGTCTCATAAGTATAGACCAGGGGAGTCAAACTCAATTTCATGGCGGGCCACATCAGCATTATGGTTGCCCTTGTAATGGAAAACGTCTGGAGCAATGGAGTCATAACACAATGGAACACGGGAGAGCTGCAACTTGATTGCAAACAGCTGAAGGTTTATTTTAAGTTACAGCCGGGGAGATTTGACAAAGATATTTGCTGCAGCCACAAGGTGACGCAGAGGTTTCCCAAACCAATTCTGAAGAATCTTTCCCCTAGTCAGAGATTTTAACTAGTTCAGAAATAATAAATACAATTTCTTCATACTAAGACTAAACAAGCAGGGCAATACAACTGTTTCTGCAAAACTTAAGGGACTTGGATATCTGATATGCTGGACCTCCAGGGCCCAGGAGTTCAAAACTTTTAATCCCTATCTGATCAGATCAGATTTGGATTTTGGGTAGTTGAAAACCAAAAAACAGGAATAGGATCACTTTGATATCAGATCAGGAAATCCAATCCAAGCTTTAATCTGGATCAAATCTTCAAAACGGGTAGTTCAAACATCAGTTTGATCCCAAAAAACTGGATTATCCTGATTCGACCAGAGGGGCGGATTTGCTGTGGATTACCAGAGCAAAATGTACTGTACATTTTATTTTAAAATATGTTTCAATATAAATAAGATGGCAAAGTTTGTTAACTGAAATAATACACCATTTTTAGTCTTCATGGGAAATACATTTTATTTTTGCTCACGTTTGTGGTGGCCTATTTTGTTCAACCAAATGTTGATGACATAAATGTTTATGCTCATAAAAGTATCACAACAAAGATTGTCAATCACAAATGTAATTTAGATTAAAGTAAAAATATCTTCAACAAAAAAAAAGTCCATCATCTTTCAAATTTAAAAATATAATTAGATATTATAGATGTCTCTGCAATGTGGCCTCTTGTCTTCCTTGTATTCTTTTTCATATCCACTAGATGGCGATCGGTAGGATTAAAGCAATGATATTCAGGATCTAGTAATCTTGAAAAGTCGTAGTCTGGATCAGGGTGATCCTATCCTGAATTGCTTTGAACTACAGGGACAAAATCTGGCCGATTTGTCTGATCCTGGATCACAAAAAATGGGATTTCAAAATCTGATTGAGATTTAAAGTTTTGAACTCCTGGGCCCATGTGTCCTTGGACAATAAATCTTGTGTGAGCTTATGATTTAACTGTCAATAGAAAGAGACAGCACGGCCTCTATGTGAGAGAGATAACAGCAACTCTAAAGGGTTCATGCCTGAGCCATGAGAGACGAGAAACAGAGATTAAAGAATGATAATCTAGGTCAAAGGCTAACACCTAAGCAAACATTTTGTAATATTCCGTCCCAGTAGTTGGCATCGCTAGGGCTCCCTCGGCAAAAAGCCAGCGCCATTTTTCAATCGGATTTTTGCAATATTGCAAACCTGTCAAACACACGTTTGACACTTAGACGTTTTGTCCAGGACCATCTCCACATATTAACAGCACATTTATATATAAAGCGAAATGCAATTGAAGCTAAATGCAATCTCCAAAAGCAGATGGCTAAAGTAATTAGCTATCAACAAACTTATGTAATGTTATAAAAGGTGTTTTGCCTACTAAAACTTTTCTGCGTTTGCTTGTGTTTGTCTCTAGGGGTATCGGGCAGGTATTAACAGACTACGTTCATGGGGACGCAAAGATCAAGATGACCAACGCCGGCCTCTTCGTCCTGTCCACGGTCACCTTCGCCGGTCTCTGCTACTTCAACTACAACGACGTGGGCCTCTGCAAAGCCATCGCCCTGCTCTGGAGCAAATGAGTTAACTGTGGAAGCTTGGAGGACCGAGACACCGGGAGAAGAGAAATCTTGTCCTGGCTGATTGTAAAAGATTGAAGGTGTTCTATGTAAATTCTTATAAATATATCATGTTGACAATATAACAGTGATTCACAGGTATGTAACTGTAATTAACGTCGATCAATTCAGGCTTGGTCTCTGTTTTAAGTCTTCGGTCAACAACTGGCATCAATTTTCTTTTCTAAAATGTGGGAGATATTCAGATTTGTTTGTTCAATGTGGACTTCTAGCAACGTTCCCCTGTAGATTTTCATCATAAGCAACAACATGTCCAACTCTACAAATAGGAGCTACCAGTTTCCTCGCATGTAATCGTTATATTTACTGGGACATGCATAAACTGCTACAACTTCAATTAAGTCTTACACAAAAGTGCTGTCTGTTCGGGTCTTGTATGTTGCTCAATGTATTTTGTTTCATTCACAATGTGTACATACTACCTTTTGCTCAAACTCATCAGGGATAGCATAGCAGATCCACGCGCCCTCCACACTAACCCCCCCACGAGGAAGATCCACCTACTGTTTCTTTTGTTGCTACACTCTTAGCCTTTCCCTCACCTCGAGTTTCACTGTATGCTGATGACAGACCGCTGTTTGCAGATCTCCAGCTGTTTTGTTTTTTTTAAGAGCAGACTGCCTTTGCTTCCATTAGCTAACTGCTGCCCTATTGAAGGTTCATTAAAGATAGGCAAGAACGGAAGACAAAATAAAAACATGTCGAACTTCAAAATATTTCATACAAATGTATTGATGGCAGTTGTATTTATTTATTACCTCTTGGGGGAAAAATAGAAACCTAATTTCAGTGTTCCTTCATCAATGTGAGCCTATATAAGATTCCATATGGCTGACTAATCAAACTCCTTCATTTATTCCAGCAATAATCTTTAGTACTGCTTGTATGGGTGTCGCCGGTTGTGTTGGCTTTAAAACCGGTTTGAACTTCATTTGGTTGTCTCAATGCTCACGCAGTAAATGTTTCTGAGAGCTTACACGTTTTGTCTTGGTCTGTTTGATTCTTCCAAATTGTCCATTTGTAATTTCTGTTCAATTTTTTTTCAACTTTTCAGATTATACGAACAAAATGCGATATGGCAAGAAAAATGCACTGTTCCTGCCTCAGCAAAATAAAGTTTGCTTTACAGATGTTTTCATATTTTGACATTTTATGACCTAACAATATATACAATGACAGTAGAGTACAAAAGGTATGGAACCATATTATAAAACATTCTGAAAAAACATACTTCATTTGATATTGTAATCATACCTACACACATTAATTACAATACATTCAATTTATACTCCGGCAGAAACGAATGCAGTAAAAAGGCTGGTCGTATCAAAGGTACATCATTTATTGAGTCCATTACAGTACACTGTGATGCATCAACCAAACTGTTCAATAGTACATCAATAAACTCAAGCTATTAATATAATGCAACAAACCAAATGCGTGTCTTTGGGGGGAAATGCCATTATGATATAAAAACAGATTTAAAATGTTTTGAAATAAAAGAATGCAGTTATTCAATAAGAAACATGTCTTAATATAAGACTAAGAAAATACATGTTCAAATACTATTTCAGAATTTCCCAAATTATCTTTGATTTGGATATTAAAAACAATGTTTATCATGATTTATTATGCCTTTGTGGTTTGATACTATAAGACTTGTGGGTAACTTATGCTTAAAAGATAAGCTGTTATTAAATTATTAAGTTCTCAAAAACAAGGTAAAGTGTATGTAACCGCACATAGGAAAAACAATTACTGCAGGTAGTCCCCAAAGCCATTCACCCTTAATGAGACAATCAGGGTGGATTTTTTATGATTACATTTAGGGATCGCGACACACATGCCACTCACACTTATTATCTTGTTCCTCGATCGTCTTTAGGACCAGTTTATTCAAGTTAAGGTTTGCATCGCACGCAAATCCCAGGTATTTATTCGGGAACTTGGAGGACCGAAACTTGTACATGCGAGATGCTTGGCTTTCTTCCATGTAGAACAATTTGTCGCTGGTACTTTCATCAATATTCTTTGGAAGATCCTTCAATTGAAAGAGACATAGCAAACCGGATTTAGTTATGCATTCAGTTAGTTGAATAGAGTTGACTGAATGAAAAGCTGAAGGAGTATGGGATAAATGTTAAGGGAAATGATCATTTGTAAATCAATGACTCTCCCAGTATTCCTGTTTTTCTTGACGGAAATTCATTTTTTGTCGCCTTACCATTTGAAACACTACCAACAAAGGCAGCGGTCATTTTTAAAGTAATTTTACTTTTTGTACTTTAAGAATATTCCTAAGCCAATATTTATGTACTTGTTTGATTTCAAATGCTGGACTTTTACTTATAACAGAGCATTTTTACACTTTAGTATTGCTACTTTTACTTACTGTGAGTAACAGATCTAAGAACTTTTTTCATCCCTGGAAACAACAAATGAAACCTGATCACAGTCAAGGAAGAGAGTGGATCTTCACCACACATTGTAAATAACTGTAAATTATTTGTGAATACTCTTACCATATTACCAATTTTTTCAGAAGAAATACCATCCTGCTTGCAGCACACCACCATTTTAACAGGACCGATACTCGCATACAGCATGATTGGCCTTCCTTTTTGTCCCCCATCAGTCTCCATGTCATTGTAATTCTGGATATTGAATTGGCAGTCTAAAAAGTAAAGGAGGGAGGGAAAGAAGCAAGAGGAAACAGCAGCACACTGTGAATGATGGAGGATCGTTGTTATAGAAACACAAGGATTGACATTAGAGATGTCCCGATCTGATCACGTGATCGGGGATCGGAGCCGATCACGTGATTTTCAAAAGATCGGAATTGGGAGAAAAAAATCGGGGATCGGGATCTTTTATTTTTATTTTTTTTTAATACTTTTTTTTATTTTTTATTCAATGTTACAAAACAAAAATGACTACGTTCAAGTCTTAAAGTCATCCTGAGGCCTTAATTTTGGTTTCAAATTACACAACATCATGTATGTGTTGCTTCTTTGGGGCTTGTTTTCATAGACCTGGTTGCTTATTTCTCACAAATCTGGCAACAGAGTGGGCAGGGCGCAGTGTCTAATTGTAGCAGGAAGCTAACGAGTACTGATAAGCTTTATTTTTGTTTTGATCCAACGCTGCACAACTGAACTGATCCAATGCTGCTGTGAAAAAAAGAAGCTATATCCATGTTGGATAGAATATCCAATTTAAATAAAATAATAACCTTAAGGGACAACTTGAATGCTTTTTTTCTTTTTTTTCTCTTAATGCATTGCATAAAGATCGGGTCGGGAAAAATCGGTATCGGCAAATTGTCAAAAAAGCAAAAAAAGGTGATCGGGACATCCCTAATTGACATATTTGAGAATACCTTCACAGTATGACCTAATGTATTGTGTTTTTTATAGGCTTTCTACTGCTAAGCCGACGATGTCCAACTCTACATTTCAACAAAATCCATCACCACCAACTGCCTCACTGAAATAAAATCCTGGATGTAAAATAACTTCCTCAAACTCGGCTTGTGATAAATCAGACATGCTCATCGTCGCTCCCAAATCCCTCACCAAAAACAATCATAACCTCTCCATCACCCTCGATATTTCCACTCTGTCTCCCTCCCCACACATCCGCAACCTCTGAGTCATTTTCGACAGCAACCTCTTGAAAACCATATTAAGCACATCATCAAAACTGCCTTCTTCTATCTCAAAAAGATATCCCGTCTCCGGCCATCACTCTCCTTCTCTGCTCCACTCTTGCAACTATGGTCTCTCTGGAACTCACTCCCCGAACACATCCGTGACTGCCTTTAATCTCAACAAGTACAATATACTTAAAACATCAAAAGAAATAAAATAGTGCAAGTAAAATGCATAAATAATTAAACGATATACAGCACATGTACATGGTATATTGAGTCAGAATAAAACAGACCCTGAAGATAGCAACACAAGGGCTCCCTAGACAAAAAGGCATGTTGTAGGAAAAAGGATCTGTGGCTAACGCGCATTTATGAAACATTTTGTTCAGCAGGATAATCCCACATATTAACACTACTTTGTGATTTTTCACAGCATAATTGCAAACGGCAGAAGTAAAAAGCTAACCCTATGATTCAAACTACATCACAGTCGCATCCCTTGAGGTCAAAGACGATATCATTTAGTCACCTTTTCGCAACCGCTGTTCTTAAAGTGGTCAAATGCTAACTCATTTCCAGGTTTTAGGACTCATTCCTGCACCACTCACACAATATAAATATAAATGTAGACTGGAAACAGATTGTGTTATATGCATTCGGTCTTGTGTGAATAAAGCTTCTTCTGCACACATTGCGTTTCGTATAAGGGTGTTTGATCTAATGTAAGACATCTGGCATACATTTGTCGTCTTTTATGGCTGACCGCAGGAATGTTACTGACATCTAATTCGAGGAGGGTTCAGCTCTTCACAGCTGGTCCTGGTTAGCAGTATATCCTCATTGTATTCACTGTATTCCCATGAGTCCTGTTAGCCAGTAGGAGCCAACAAATATTCACTCTCTGTTCCAAGAGTAAAAACTAAACATGGAGAAGCAGCGTTTAGCTTCTATGCCCCGACTATCTGGAACAAACTCCCTGAATCCTGCAGGTCCACTGCAACTCTTAATACTTTTAAATGAGTGAGCTGTTTCTATCCACACTGCAGCATGGTTTTTATTCATGTATTCTATACCTGTTGTGTTTATTTTATTATCTTTGCTTTTTAATGCCTGTTTTTAAATGCCATTTTATGATGTGTTTATTCTTAGATGTCTTTTATTAATTTTTTTCAAGCACTTGGAATTGCCGTGTGCTGAAAGGTACTTGTTTCTAAATGCTGTAAGTGTCCATATAGATGCTACGTTGATATTTGTGCAGTTGTAAATGAAAATGGATCCCTGTTTATAAAGGTTGGATTAAAGTACAATATGTTGGTGTGTTGGTTGCATCTTACCAGGCTTCTTTAGCTCAGTCTCGTCTAAGTTTTTCACTTCAAACTGACTTTCATGAAAGTGCAGGAATTGGTTGGACTTGCTTCGGACCCAGCGTATCTCGGGTTCCGCCGGTGACTTTGCGAAACCATCTTCAGTCAAATCTTCACCCATCTCTTTGAGAGAAAAACATGTTATAACAGCAGCAACATCATACAGTTGAAAAGGAATGCAATGTGGACTGTGTATTCAACAAAAAAAACTACATAACAATTTTCTCACCTGGTGTTTCTGTCATTTTTGTGGTTGAAATAGAAAAGGGGAACATAAAAATATATTTCAGGATTTACTTAGAAACCTAAAAATGATAGTGATTATATCAAAAATGATAGTTCAAATATTTTAAACAATATAAAATTAGCAAGTACCTACTGAGAAATAATACAATCACAGTTACCTTGAAAGTAGAAGGCATCATCACAGATATTCACAAAAGTAACATGGGAGTAGTCACAGGACGCCATCGGGAAGACTTGGTAAAAAAAAAATGTTACAATTGTGTTTTCTTTTCTACACATGGTGGTTTAAGATGTAAGTGCAAGATAAATAAGAGAGCGGAAACATTTAATCAAACAACTTCTCCAAATGTTGTTTCAAAACAATTCTTCAGAACAGATTTACTGCTTTTTATAGATGAAGTCACTTCAGTTAATAACATTTGTTCTACCTTTTCCAGCATGATAAATACATCAACATTCATAATTGTACTCACTGGCATACGTGTAGCCTATGTGTGTAGTGAAAGCGTAACAAACCTTTGAAGACTTTGTGTATAACCCCCTGTAGATAAAGAAGAAAAACAGACATTAAAAAAATTGTCAAATAAAATAATTCCTTCCTGCCAAAACGTCGAGCTAAAGCCCCCTCAACATATTAGCACGTCACCTGAGTCAGACTCGCCGCACCCTGCAGCTCTGGAAGTGTTGAACAAACTGCTCCCGCGCTGTGTCCTCGAGACATGGGGTGTTTATGTCGAGAACGTTTGTTTGGTAGCACATGTCTTCCGAGTCACTAGGCTTGTTTGAGACGCGTTGCGGCTCGCCTCGAAAGTAGACGAGAATAGCCGATCGCAGCCGGGGGAGGTCTCAAAAAGCTCGCCTGAAGTCGGACAGCTCCGAGTCGGCTTCTTCTTCTGCTTCTGCTTCTGCTTCTTCTTCTTCTTCTTCTTCTTCTTCTCTCAGTTTTTTGGCAGATTGCAAACAACTTTAAGGTGCATACCGCCACCTCCGGAGTCGGCTTGACTAAGTTTGCATTTATAAAGAATGCACATATGCAGAGGCGCGGGAAGGTATTTTGAGTGGGGGTGCTGAGGTGCTGGACTCCAGTGAACACTATTACGGGCACTATAGAGCACGCACAAAAAAACTCCCCACACGCAAACACACAGTAAACCCGCGACTGTTACAATGCTCGATAATCAGCTTTTTTTTTAAATATTGAAGTTAAAAGCATCAATCTGGTGCACTTTGAGAGCAACATTAAGAGATCTATGGATACATCTCTCAACACCCAGATGAAACATAACTGTAAGCAGATGTTCTTTTTCTTTATGGATATTTTACAAATCACTCCCCTTTCAAACTGTATTCTTGTTTTACTGCCATATAGTATTTCATAACTGTTTTTCATTTATTCTCTTATTTTTTTTTATAACTATAATGATCATATGAAGGTGTACCGCGGAAATAATCTTTTGAATAATTTTTGACCAAACCGTTTGCGACCCACTGAGATAACTTAGACTAAAGTTAACTATGTAAACACTCAGGCTCAGGTGAGTTAAAGGACTCTCTCTCAGTCTGAGAGGAGAGCTCTCCTCCAGCTTGTTGTGGAACAAACAGCTCCGTATGTCCGTTAGTGCAGCTAGCTAACCAGATGCTAACAACACGGTCCCTGCTGCTGGCACCGGTCCCTCTCTCTCTCCCCCTCTCTCACACACACTAAATGCGCTATTTCCGCACACACACAGAGCCGCGAGCTTGAATGACACAAGCACAGTTTTATTTCCATGCAACTCTCTGATTGGTCTGGTGTCTTGCCTCTGTTGCATTCACTGAACACGG